GATTCCTCCGCGGAGCTGGTGTCGGAGGAAGAGGAGCGTCTCTGCGGTCAAACCTGGACAAACTTTCACCGCTTCTGCAGCTTTAACGAAGAGTCCGGAGGGAAACACGACACCATCACCAACATTTACGGACATTATTGAAGAATTAAAGACATGACGCAGCGCAGAAACTCCAAAAGTCACGCGAAAAGAGGTAAGATGCTGCGCTCGTCCATCTCCACGGGACGCGCCTACGTTTTCACACATTTAAACGCCATTTCTGAATTATCACAAATATTGAGACGCTTTCAAAAATACAAAACATATTTAAGTATTATAAACAGCACTGTCTTTGATTCGGCTTGGATCCTGGTTGTGATAGTGTGTTATTTTAGCGGAGATTCCCGTGCTCTGCCGGGGCACGATGACCGCACTCTGTAGCGCCATTGTGTCATTTAAACCAAAAACGCGTCCAAACTAAACGAGGCTCTCAACTGGAAACTGCGCCGAACTGAAACGAGCAGCGGAACGTTTTATTTACACAAATGTTTTATCTTTGTCTTTCCTTTTTTTATCCTGCACGATGTTACATAAGCCTAAAACATGTCGCTTTTAAACCAGATTCCCGTGATTCAAAACAAAACGATGTTGTGTGCGGGGTTAATATTCTTAAAAATGACGTGTTTTGTGTTTTAAAGGAAATAAAAGGAGTTAAATGTGAAATAGATGAGTGTTCAGGGTGATGATGAGCTGAGAGGTTTGTAAGTGTGAGTCTAAAGTCAAAATAAATCATGAAAGAATGAATATTTGTTGATTATATCCACATAATCTAAAGATGTTTTTATATTGAAATATTGATTTTGTGCAGAAGTTTGAGGCTTTTATACGATTATTTATCCTTTATGAATTATGACAAGGAGCTAAAAATCATTAATTCATTTGTTTTTCAAAATAAAAACAAAAATAAGAAACAAAAAACAACTATTTTCTTAGCCCAGTTTTAGTCCTGGTTTAGTCCTGGTTTAGACCTGGTTTAGTCCTGGTTTAGACCTGGTTTAGACCTGGTTTAGACCTGGTTTTAGTCCTTGTTTAGACCTGGTTTAGTCCTGGTTTTAGTCCTTGTTTAGACCTGGTTTAGACCTGGTTTAGACCTGGTTTTAGTCCTTGTTTAGACCTGGTTTAGTCCTGGTTTTAGTCCTTGTTTAGACCTGGTTTAGTCCTGGTTTTAGTCCTTGTTTAGACCTGGTTTAGTCCTGGTTTTAGTCCTGGTTTAGACCTGGTTTAGTCCTGGTTTTAGTCCTTGTTTAGACCTGGTTTAGTCCTTGTTTGGACCTGGTTTAGTTCTGGTTTAGACCTGGTTTAGTTCTGGTTTAGACCTGGTTTAGTTTCTGGTTTAGACCTGGTTTAGTCCTGGTTTTAGTTCTGGTTTAGACCTGGTTTAGTTCTGGTTTAGACCTGGTTTAGTCCTGGTTTAGACCTGGTTTAGTTCTGGTTTAGACCTGGTTCAGTCTTTGTTTAGTTCTGGTTTAGACCTGGTTTAGTCCTTGTTTAGACCTGGTTTAGTTCTGGTTTAGACCTGGTTTAGTCCTTGTTTAGACCTGGTTTAGTTCTGGTTTAGACCTGGTTTAGTTCTGGTTTAGACCTGGTTTTGGAGACAAATAATGAAGATTTTTTTTTCTTATTTTTGGTTTTATTTTAAAAAATGAATGAATGAATGAAAGCAGGTCTAACCCCGGTCTAAACCCGGTCTAACCCCGGTCTAAACCCGGTCTAAACCCGGTCTAAACCCGGTCTAAACCCGGTCTAAACCCGGTCTAACCCGGTCTAAACCCGGTCTAAACCCGGTCTAAACCTGGTCTAGTCTCAGTGTTTCTCGATCAGTAGGAAACTCCAACAGCAGTTAAAGACGACGTGTCCCTGCAGACTCGAGGACGACTGTTTCTCCTACAGAAACATTTATCGTTTCTCTGGACGATATTTGGACTTTTTATCGTATCAGACGCTGGCCTTAAATCTCCAGCACACGCCCGTATTTAGTTTTGGTCGATTTTACATGTGTGTCTATGGTAGAATGTTCAGCAGTTGCTACGACGACACACGAGCAAAACACCAACACACACAAAAAAAAAACACTTTAAGCTCGTCTGAAAACTCAAGTAAAGACACGGTTTGATTTTCCTGTGGTCAGAGCGAGAGTCGAGGTTCTGTTCAAGTTTCAACAAAAAGGTGCCAGTGACTCGACTCGACTCGACTCGAGGGGGCGTGTTTAACAGCACAGATCCTGTCGGCTGTTGGAGTTCAGGTCAGAGTTCAGTCGGGTCTTTGTGTTCAAACAAAACTCAGATTAAAATGAACCTTGAGTCTGAGAGTTTCAGACGGAGCAGTGCCTCGTGTTAGCGTCTCACCCCCACAGGAACGACCTGGACACACACAGTGTGCTGCATTTTAAAGGGAAAAGAGTCTTTTTTTGTTTGTTTTGTTTTTCTTTGCTGATTTTTTTCTTTGCAGATATTTTTCAGGGCATTATTATTATTATTATTATTTTATTATTATTATTATTATTTTTATTTTATTATTTATTTATTTATTTATTTTTTATATTTTATTAGATTATTTTTATTAGATTCTGTTTTTAGTCGTATGTTGTTTCATTGTTTTTTGTCTGTTTTTGCAGCTCTTTGTTCAGTCTGTGTTGTTATAAAGAAAGTTTTAGTTGCAGTTACACGACGGTTTCAGGTCAATATTATTAAACTCACACGGGGTCAGGTTAAATAAATATTGTTTTATACAGATGTTTGTTGGAACAGCAGCGCTCGGCTCCAGTCAGTAATAGAAATGATTCCTTATTATTATTATTATTATTATTATTATTATTATTATTATACCTTTTCAAAATTTTCTCTGTCAAAGAACAACCAGAACAACCGGAGTGTCTCACTATAGTCGAGTTTCAGCTGACGTCATTGTTATTAAAAGTCTGTGTTGCTGCTGGGAAATATTCTGGTTGGAGGCAGAAACACGGTCGCGTCAAACACAGTTCGTAACCTCGTGTATTTATTCTGATATTGGTAAATTCCTGCTGCATTATCAGACGCACAAATAGAAACACAGAAGAAGGAAAATGTCTTTTTCATATTCTGAGTGAAAAGAACCACTAACGGTGAATTAAACGACTTTCAAACATCCGCAGAGCAAACGTAGAAGATCCTAACAAACCGTGGACTCAACAAGTTCAACAACACATCCAGACTCTTGGAGGTTTTCATCTTTTCTGCTGTGAATGGCCCAGGAGTTTCCACCAAGTCATTGTGGATAATAATATTATTATTATAAATATTTGTCCAGGGAGTTGGAGATTCTGACCAGAAGTTTGGTTTGATCCACCTTTTGTCGGGGTTGAAAAGGGAGATTTGTCGTCCGTCGATGTTTATGTTTATGACCAATTTCTGGTCACATGTTCTTGGGTCGTCTGCCGTTAGAGTGGATCAATAACCAGGATCAATACCCTTTACGTGTTTTCTCGCTCCGTCCGTCATGTTCAATTAGTGTTTATTGCCGCCGACCAAAATAATTCCCATCATGCAACGTGTGCTTTTGTCAACAGTGAAACTCGTCTATAGACTAAACTTCACTTCAGGTTCATGTTTTTCTGTGTTAAATAAAAGCGTCGTTTTCTCCAACAGCTTCATAAATGTGTTAGTCAGTCTGGCGCCCCCTGCTGTCTCTGCTCAGTTTCATTTGTCTCCAGGTCAGAATCAGAATCAGAAAACACAAGACGATTTATAAAAACCTCAGAAGTGTCGAGTTCAGGCTCCAGCCAATCAGAGACGAGACAGAGTCTGTGTTGGCGACGATTCTCCAGATCCACAAGGATTTAAACCAGAACAAAGAGAAAGTTTGGTGAATTTGATCAAGGGGAAAGATTTTTTTTTTTTACTTTATTTTTATTAGAACATTTTATTTATGTATATCACATATTTACATACACAAATGATTAGTAATATGAAACAAAATAAACCAACAGACCAAAAAAGGAAAAAATAAACTAAAATAAAATCAAATACGAGGCCATGGAGCTGGTGACATCTGCAAATATGTATAAAACATTTTTACATTAAGTTTGGTTTTAACTGTAAGATTTCCACTTTTTCCAGGACGGTTCTTTTGTCTGTCGTGTCTTAAAGAAAATGTTATTTGTTCCATAATCTGAATTTGGTTGATTATATCAGTTTGTTCTGAAACAGGAGGTTTGTCCTGGAGCCATTCAATTAATTAAAAATAAAGTAAGATAAGTAAATAAAAAATAATAATACTAAAATAAAATAATAATTATAACAACAACAACAACGACATTAATGAAAATAAAAACAAATGTAGTATTTGTCAGTGTTTGTCTTTCCAGAATATTTGATGATGATGAGTTTTACACAGACACAGATTTGTGATGTTTAAACGTCAGATTCTCGAGGAGCAGAACGTTTAGTTTTGAAATTCATGCGTTAAATTTAGTTTGTTTTAATTGTTGTTTTTGTCTTTTATTTTTCCAGTGAGTCGTGAGTGAAATTATAAACTCAAACTTGTTCAGACGCTGATTTTTTTTCCTTGGAATTTTGTCATTGTCGTGTTTTTGGGCTTTTTGTTTAGTTTAGTTTAGTTTAGTTTAGTTTTGCTGTAAAATGACAGAATAAAACTAAAACTAAACTAGTTTTAGTTGAGTTTGTTGTGTGACTGTTGTTGTGTGTCGTTGTTTCTTTAAGTTTTGTTCTTTCTTCTCTGGATGTTGTGGAGAAATTGTTCATGAAGAATGTTTCTCCTTTACACATTTACACAGAAAAACTTGAACCAGAAGAAGTGACGTTTACGGACATCGAGACGCTTCCGACTGGTGTGAAAAAGTTCTCCTCCTCCTTCTCCTCCTCCTTCTCCTCGTGGTTTGTTCTTGTGTTTGTGTCTGAGTCTCGTGGGATTTCGTGTGAACAGTTTGAGTTCGTGTCTCTTTAAGGCTGCGTCCTCCACTGAAGGTCACGTCTATTTGAGTCCAGACACAGTTGGACGGAGTTGGACAGGAGTTGGACACAGTTGGACACAGTTGGACACAGTTGGACACTTCAGACGCAGACGCCGCTTCTGTTCTCAGGACGATTCTCACGCTCACTGTTTGGATTACGTCTCCTCCAATCTTCAGACTTTTCTCTGTTTTCTTCTCTTGGTTGTTCACTTCTGCCTCCTGACGTTCCTGCCGGGTTGAGGTTCTGGCGCTGGTTGAGGTTCTGGCGCTGGTTCTGATGCAGTCGTTTGTCCCGTTCGCGCTCGGACAGGAAGTGGGTAGGTGATCCAGGACGTTCTTGTTTTCAGATCGACGCCTTCGGAGACAAAACGGCTCCTGGACTCGTCTCGGCTTTTTCCCAACAAAACGTGTCGCTGCAGTTTCACGTCGGACCACGACTCGACTCTAAACCAGGTCTAAACTCTAAACCAGGACTAAACCAGGTCTAAACCAGGTCTAAACCAGGACTAAACCAGGTCTAAACCAGGTCTAAACCAGGTCTAAACCAGGACTAAACCAGGTCTAAACCAGGTCTAAACCAGGACTAAACCAGGTCTAAACCAGGTCTAAACCAGGACTAAACCAGGTCTAAACCAGGACCAGGTCTAAACTAAACCAGGTCTAAACCAGGTCTAAACCAGGTCTAAACCAGGACTAAACCAGGACTAAACCAGGTCTAAACCAGGTCTAAACCAGGTCTAAACCAGGACTAAACCAGGTCTAAACCAGGTCTAAACCAGGTCTAAACCAGGTCTAAACCAGGTCTAAACCAGGTCTAAACCAGGAAACTAAACCAGGTCTAAACCAGGTCTAAACCAGGTCTAAACCAGGTCTAAACCATCTAAACCAGGTCTAAACCAGGGGTCTAAACCAGGTCTAAACCAGGTCTAAACCAGGAAACTAAACCAGTCTCCCATAAACCATCTAAACCAGGTAAATCTTCATTTTCTTGGTCAAACCAGAAGTTTACTTTGAAAACACATTTTAAATCAGTTTTTCTTGTTTCCCACAGTCATGGAAATCCTGGAAAAGCCATGGAATTTGTAAATTAAATGAAATTGTAGTCTCTGTTTCCCTCGGCTCCAGTGTTTGTTCAGTTTTCATGAGTTTGTTCTGATTCTGTGTGAACGTCTGAGTCTTTAGTTTAAAACAGACGACAGTAAATAAAAATAAAAACACTGACAGGATTTAAAATGTTCCAAAACTATAAACCAAACCAGAAGGTGAGTGAAAGATTTAATGTTTCAGATTTACACTAAAACTCTGATCAGTTCTGCACATGGAGGTGCTGGAAAGTCATGGAAAATTCACTTTACTCGTGGAAAAGTTTGGAAAAGTTGTCAGTGTAAAAGCGTGGGAACTAGGGCTGGTATCATGAAGAAGTTGCCGATACGATACACACCTCGATACACAGGCCACGATACGATACACACCTCGATACATGAGCCACGATACGATACACACCTCGATACACACGATACGATACACACGATACGATACACGATACACACCTCGATACACGATACGATACCACGATACGATACATACACACCTCGATACACAGATACGCCACGATACGATACACACCTCGATACACACGATACGCCACGATACGATACGATACACACCTCGATACACAGAGCCACACGATACGATACACACCTCGATACACAGGCCACGATACGATACACACCTCGATACACGATACGATACCACGATACATACGATACACACACCTCGATACATGAGCCACGATACGATACACACCTCGATACAGTGCACTTTGGATTCGATATGATATATTTCAAATCAATTCGATACGGTTCAATAAAAAATAAAGACTAAATCGTGACTGTGGTACTAAAAGTTTTTGTTAAATCACTTCTTCTTGTGCAAAGTTCATATGAAACACAAACATTTTAATATTTATCAAAACAGTAAAAATGTCAAATGTGTCGCATCAAATGAGTTTCCTTTCACTAAACAAACAACAAAACTGTAGCTCTGTGAGAAAATAATTCAGTAAAACTCACCTAAAAATACTCTTGGTGATATATCGATACTGTATCATCACGTTAAACGATACGATATATCGATATTCTGATATTTTTGCACACCCCTAGTGGGAACTGTGAACTACAGCATCTGGAAAGAAATCTGAACTATTTCCTCACCTGCTGCGTGAACATCATTTATAATCAACTGCAGAATTTATTCAAAAATCATTCAGAATCAGAATCAGTTCACAGATTTATTATAACCTTGAGTTTGTGATTAATATAATACAGATAAAAAATAAAAATAATGTTTAGTTTCATAGTTCAGTTGGAGTTTGTGTCTGTTTTGAAGAGTCTGAGATTATTTATCACTGATCAGATTTTTGATTTTATGTTTTAATGAATTTTGTTTTATTTAATGTGAAACTGTTTAACACAGAGATAAGTGTGTGTGTGTGTGTGTGTGTGTGTGTGTGTGTGTGTGTGTGTGTGTGTGTGTGTGTGTGTTGTGTGTGTGTGTGTGTGTGTGTGTGTGTGTGTGTGTGTGTGTGTGTGTGTGTGTGTGTGTGTGTGTGTGTGTGTGTGTGTGTGTGTGTGTGTGTGTGTGTGTGTGTGTGTGTGTGTGTGTGTGTGTGTGTGTGTGTGTGTGTGTGTGTGTGTGTGTGTGTGTGTGTGTGTGTGTGTGTGTGTGTGTGTGTGTGTGTGTGTGTGTGTGTGTGTGTGTGTGTGTGTGTGTGTGTGTGTGTGTGTGTGTGTGTGTGTGTGTGTGTGTGTGTGTGTGTGTGTGTGTGTGTGTGTGTGTGTGTGTGTGTGTGTGTGTGTGTGTGTGTGTGTGTGTGTGTGTGTGTGTGTGTGTGTGTGTGTGTGTGTGTGTGTTGTGTGTGTGTGTGTGTGTGTGTGTGTGTGTGTGTGTGTGTGTGTGTGTGTGTGTGTGTGTGTGTGTGTGTGTGTGTGTGTGTGTGTGTGTGTGTGTGTGTGTGTGTGTGTGTGTGTGTGTGTGTGTGTGTGTGTGTGTGTGTGTGTGTGTGTGTGTGTGTGTGTGTGTGTGTGTGTGTCTGTGTGTGTGTGTGTGTGTGTGTGTGTGTGTGTGTGTGTGTGTGTGTGTGTGTGTGTGTGTGTGTGTGTGTGTGTGTGTGTGTGTGTGTGTGTGTGTGTGTGTGTGTGTGTGTGTGTGTGTGTGTGTGTGTGTGTGTGTGTGTGTGTGTGTGTGTGTGTGTGTGTGTGTGTGTGTGTGTGAGTGTGTGTGTGTGTGTGTGTGTGTGTGTGTGTGTGTGTGTGTGTTTGTGTGTTGTGGAGCAGCTGTGGTTCTATTTCTGTCACTCTGACATTTGTATTGTCCCTGTTCACAAAGAACTACAAACAAGATGGCCGTTTGTAGTTCACTAAACCAGGACTAATTTATGACTAATTCAGGTCTAAACCAGGTCTTTCTTTCTGTTTCAGAGGTGAAGTCGTCGGTGAGTAAAAACGGTCGTGGTTCGTCGGACTCTGGAGAGGCTTCGTCGTCATGTGGGGGTGTGGGGGGGGCGGAGTCATCGGGTCCGGTCCGGTCCTGGTTCAGTCTGGTCTTGGTCCTGGCTCTGGTCGGGCTCTGGAGCTCCATGGCGGTGGTTTACTTCGACGTGGTGGACTACGACAGCGTCCTGGGTGAGTCCCGCCCACCAAACCAAACCACGCCCCACCAGACCAAACCACGCCCCACCAGACCAAACCACGCCCCACCAAACCACCCCCACCAGACCAAAACGCCCCACCAAACCAAACCACCCCACCAGACCAACCACACCCCACCAGACCAAACCACACCCACCAGACCAACCACCCCACCACCAAACCAACCCACAGACCAAACCACGCCCACCAGACCAAACCACACCCCACCAGACCAAACCACGCCCCACCAGACCAAACCACGCCCCACCAGACCAAACCACGCCCCACCAGACCAAACCAACCCCCACACCAAACCACCCCACCAGACAACCACCCCCCACCAGACCAAACCACGCCCCACCAAACCAAACCACACCCACCAGACCAAACCACCAAACCAAACCACACCCCACCAGACCAAAACCCCCACCAGACCAAACCACCCCCACCAGACAAACCACGCCCACCAGACCAAACCACGCCCCACCAGACCAAACCACCCCCACCAACCACCACCACCCCCCACCAGACCAAACCACGCCCACCAAACCAAACCACGCCCCACAAACAACCAAACCACGCCCCACCAGACCAAACCACCCCACCACCACCCCAACCAAACACGCCCACCAGACCAAAACCACGCCCCACCAGACCAAACACGCCCCACCAGACCAAACCACGCCCCACCAGACCAAACCACGCCCACCAAAAACCACCCCCACCAGACCAAACCACCCCACCAGACCAAACCACGCCCCACCAAACCACAACCAAACCACACCCCACCAGACCAAACCACACCCCAAACCAAACCACGCCCCACCAAACCAAACCACGCCCCCACAAACCACGCCCACCACCAAACGCCCACCACCACGCCCCACCAGACCAAACCACGCCCCACCAAACCAAACCACGCCCCACGAAAAAAAAAAAAAAACTGAAACAAATCAAACTAATCTGAGACGTTTAAACAGATTTGACACAATTACACAGTTTTTAATTTCCGACTTTATTTCTACTGATTTAAAAACACTCACAGCTGTAAATGTTGTTTTAAAAATATAAATATCACGTCTATTATTTATGACAATAAAATATAAACATCATAATGAAGAAATAAGTTTATGTGATTAATTGAATTTTTAATCACGATTTCAATTTGTGTGTCAAAAGATTTAAGATTAAAGTTTATTTGGGGATTTTTTTATATAAAGTTTTAAGTATATTTATTTTGTTTTTAAAATATAGAGATTGTAGGTTTAAACCAGGAATAAAGAACAGTTGGATATAGAGTTTATTTTAGACACATTTATGTTTTTCTGTTTCATTTCATGTTCAAAATTTATTTTATTCAATTTTTATACGTCGTTAAACTGCTCGAAGGTTCAGATTTGTAGAATATTTTTATTTTCAATTAGACAGTTTTACATAAATTATCAATAACAAAGTGTTTTTGGGGTGTTTTTTTTTGAGAGAGAAAAGTTGAATAAATACATCGAGTAAATAAAAAAATACTCGTTTGAATAATCATGATCATGATTTTTCAGAATCAAGCATCTTTAATCCAAAATGAAATATTGTTATTTCAAAGTATAAAAGGGAGTTTTGTCATTTTGGTTCTTTCACTTAAACTACAGATAAAAGTGTGAAAGTTTCATCACAAACATCAGTTTGTCGGTCGCACAAATGTGTGAAACGACTCAGAGTCACTTCCTGTTAAACTCAAACTAAATCTGACGACAACAACACAACAACCACACAACAACCACACAACAACTACACAACTACACAACTACACAACAACTACACAACAACTACACAACAACTACACAACAACTACACAACAACTACACAACAACTACACAACAACTACACAACAACTACACAACACTACACAACTACACAACAACTACACAACAACTACACAACAACTACACAACAACTACACAACAACTACACAACTACACAACAACTACACAACAACTACACAACAACTACACAATACACAACAACTACACAATACACAACAACTACACAACTACTACACAACTACACAACTACACACAACACAACTACACAACACACTACACAACTACTACACAACAACTACACAACTACACAACACAACTACACAACTACACAACTACACAACAACTACACACAACACACAACACTACACAACTACTACACAACATACACAACAACTACACAACAACTACACAACAACTACACAACAACTACACAACAACTACACAACAACTACTACACAACAACTACACAACTACTACACAACTACACAACAACACACAACTACACAACAACTACACAACAACTACACAACTACACAACAACACAACTACACAACAACTACACAACTACTACACAACTACTACACAACAACTACACAACAACTACATACACAACACACACAACTACACAACACTACACAACTACACAACAACTACACAACAACACACAACACTACACAACAACACTACACAACAACTACTACACAACAACACAACTACACAACAACTACACAACAACTACACAACAACTACACAACAACTACACAACAACTACACAACAACTACACAACAACTACACAACAACTACACAACAACTACACTACAACTACACAACTACTACACAACTACTACTACACAACTACACAACTACACACACTAACAACAACTACACAACTTTTTTTTCTATTTTTTATTTAAACACAAAACCAAAACCTGAAAAAACAAATCATTGTCTGTTTTTTTTTCATTTTTGTTTCAGAAACAAAAAATGAAGAAAATATATATATTTATTTTATTTTTTAAATGAATGAACGACACACAGATTGTGGTGGTGTAGTTTTTATTCCAGCTGCAGATTGAACAGACTGGAGTGAAAAAAGGAAGAATAACTCTTCATTAGGAGGAAAAGGGGCAGATTTAAAAGTAAAATTACTGTAAGAAATAAACCCAGACGAGGACAAACAAAGTGAAACGGCCAAAAAAGTTCCTCTTGTTTCTAATCGTGTGATTTTCCCGCCGGCAGCTCGAGCGAAGGAGTTCCGGCAAAACTTTACAAGTGTTTTACAAGGTACAAAAAAAAAAAAAAACTCAGCTCATTTCAAATCTTCACCATCGTCCACAATCGTCCACCGTCGTCCACCGTCATCCACCGTCGTCCACAGTCGTCCACCGTCGTCCACTATCGTCCACAGTCGTCCACTATCGTCCTCCGTCATCCACGTCGTCGTCCACACCGTCGTCCACCGTCGTCCACAGTCGTCCACCGTCCACAGTCGTCCACCGTCGTCCACAGTCGTCCACCGTCGTCCACTATCGTCCACAGTCGTCCACCGTCATCCACCGTCGTCCACCGTCGTCCACCGTCGTCCACCGTCGTCCACAGTCGTCCACAATCGTCCACCGTCGTCCACCGTTGTCCACAGTCGTCCACAATCGTTCACCATCATCCACCGTCGTCCACAGTCGTCCACAATCGTTCATTCACCGTCGTCCACAATTGTTCATTGTCGTCCACCATCGTCCGTCATCCACAATCATCCACAGTCGTACACTGTCGTCCATCGTTGTCCATCGTCATCCACCGTCGTCCACCGTCGTTCACCGTCGTCCACAATCGTCCACAATCGTCCACCATCGTCCATCGTTGTCCACCATCGTCCACAATCGTCCACCGTTGTCCACAATCGTCCACCATCGTCCACAATTGTCCACCGTCGTCCACCGTTGTCCAGTCATTCACCGTCGTCCACAGTCGTTCACCTTCGTCCACAGTCGTCCACCGTCGTCCACCGTCGTCCACCGTCGTCCCACCGTCGCCCACCGTCGTCCACCGTCGTCCACCGTCGTCCACCGTCGTCCACCGTCGTCCACCGTCGTCCACAGTCGTCCACAGTCGTCCACCGTCGTCCACAGTCGTCCACCGTCGTCCACAGTTGTTCTCTGTCGTCCACCGTCGTCCACAGTTGTTCTCTGTCGTCCACCGTCGCCCACCGTCGTCCACCGTCGTCCACCGTCGTCCACAGTCGTCCACCGTCGTCCACCGTCGTCCACCGTCGTCCACCGTCGTCCACAGTCGTCCACAGTCGTCCACCGTCGTCCACAGTCGTCCACTCGTCGTCCAGTCGTTCTCTGTCGTCCACCGTCGTCCACAGTTGTTCTCTGTCGTCCACAGTCGTCCACCGTCGTCCAGTCGTCCACAGTCGTCCACAGTCGTCCAGTCGTCCACAGTCGTCCATCGTTCATCCACCGTCGTCCGTGTTGTTCGTTGTTCATTTCTTTCAGACAAAACCTGAAGCTTTTTTTTTCACTTTTATTTGAGGTGTTTTTCTTCACCTTCATTGTGACGCATGTTAAACTTCACCAGGTCATTTCTCACTCCTCATGATCTGACGATAAAACTAAACCATAAAATATAAAATATAAAATATATTGTGCGTTTGTTTGTTTTCAGGGAAATTGTCGGCGTACGATTCAGACGGAGACGGAGACTTTGACCTGGAGGACGCCAGAGTTCTGCTCGGTGAGTTTTTTTTATTTTTGTTTTTTTCAGTTAAAGGTTGAATATTTTACAAATTTGACTCTTGTGAAGTTTAATGTTTCCTGCTCAAAACTCTGCAGAGTTTGTGAGTTTAAACATGTGAATGAAACAAACTCAACTTTATCACAGATCAGAAAATACTGACGGGATTAAACACGAGTTTATTATTTAAAAAACAAATCCAACTTTTGTCTCTGAACAATAAGACAAACATCAATATAAGGACTAAACCTGGACTAAACCTGGACTGAAACCTGGACTAAACCTGGACTGAACCTGGACTGAACCAGGACTGAACCAGGACTGAACCAGGACTGAACCAGGACTGGACTAAACCTGGAACTAAACCTGGACTGAACCTGGACTGAAACCTGGACTGAACCTGGACTGAACCTGGACTGAACCTGGACTGAACCAGGACTGAACCAGGACTAAACCTGGACTAAACCTGGACTAAACCTGGACTGAACCTGGACTGAACCTGGACTAAACCTGGACTAAACCTGGACTAAACCTGGACTGAACCTGGACTGAACCAGGACTAAACCTGGACTGAACCTGGACTGAACCTGGACTAAACCTGGACTAAACCTGGACTAAACCTGGACTGAACCTGGACTGAACCTGGACTGAACCTGGACTGAACCTGGACTGAACCTGGACTGAACCAGGACTGAACCAGGACTGAACCTGGACTGAACCTGGACTGAACCAGGACTGAACCAGGACTGAACCAGGACTGAACCAGGACTGAACCTGGACTGAACCTGGACTGAAACTGGACTGAACCTGGACTAAACAACTCTGTGAGAGTAAAGTTTGTTCTGGAGTATTTCCTCGCGCTCGTTGTGATGATTCATTGTGTTTACGTTTTTACGTCCGCAGACGTTTCTGCTCCGTTGAGACGTTCTGTGTTTTTGTGGCGTCTTCAGGCGTCAGCGGAGAGAATCTGGTGATGACTCGGTGTGTCTTAAGTGTCTTAAGTGTCCAGGGCGTCGGCTTCAGAAGTTGAAAATGTTGAACTTTGGTTGATGCGGCTCGTCCGACACTAAATCAGAGACGAGTATCTAGAGACGTAGAGACGTTATGACCTGGAAGAAGAAAGAGAAAACCCGGAACAACATCAGAAACACCACAACAAGAAACTAGATTTATTCTGACCTAATGACTCGGTGTAAAGACAAACCACAAACACCACTGACCGGGACTGGACTGGACTGGACTGGACTGGACCCGGACCAGGACCGGACCGGGACTGGACCAGTGTCATTAGTGGAGTATAAATATCTGCTGATGAGTTTATGTAATAAAAACAGTAAAGTTTCTCTCCAGATAAACTCGTCAGTCGTCGATGTTCTGGTCGAGCGTCGTTTCTTTTTCTCCCGTTGGTTCTGGTCGAGCGTCGAGCGTCTGAACTTAAAGTCCGAGTCTCCAACTGGAGTTTTTTTACTCTGCGTCTGAACGAAGCTTTAGTCTCTTTAAATTTAAATCTCGAGTTGGAGTTTGATCCAGAGTTTTTATAAATCTGATTCTAGATCAGATCAGTGACTCGTGTGTTTCCTCATGACTCACTCTTTCCTCTTCCTTTCTCCATATTTGGTCATTTTTGGTTCAACCATTTCCCACTTTATACTTTATTTTTTCCCACAACATCTTCCCTCATCACCTTCCCTCGCCTCCTTCCTCCTTCCCTCGTCTCCTTCCTCCTTCCCTCGTCTCCTTCCTCCTTCCCTCACCTCCTTCCTCCTTCCCTCGCCTCCTTCCTCCTTCCCTCGCCTCCTTCCTCCTTCCCTCACCTCCTTCCTCCTTCCCTCGCCTCCTTCCTCCTCCTCCCTCCTTCCTCCTTCCCTCGCCTCCTTCCCTCGCCTCCTTCCCTCACCACCTTCCTTCTTCCCTTGTGTCCTTCCCTTGTGTCCTTCCCTCGCCTCCTTCCCTCACCTCCTTCCCTCGCCTTCTTCCCTTGCCTCCTTCCCTTGCCTCCTTCCCTCGCCTCCTTCCCTTGCCTCCTTCCCTCGCCACCTTCCTTCTTCCCTTGTGTCCTTCCCTTGTGTCCTTCCCTTCTCTCCTTCCCTCGTCTCCTTCTCTTGTCTCCTTCTCTTGTCTCCTTCCCTTGTCTCCTTCCCTTGTCTCCTTCCCTTGTCTCCTTCCCTTGTCTCCTTCCTCCTTCCCTTGTCTCCTTCCTCCGTCCCTTGTCTCCTTCCCTCGTCTCCTTCTCTCGCTTCCTTCTCCGTCTCCTGGGTCAGGCCTGAACAAAGATGGCAGCAGCGGCGGCGGCGTTGGCGAGGAAAGCGCCGAGTCGTCATTGGAGGAAATGTTAAGCGTTTTGTCGGACGAGGGCTCTGATTGGCTGTTCGGGTTCTTCAGTTTCCTGTTTGACATAGTGACGACGCCCGACGACAAAACCCGAGGTCAAAGTTTACCCGACGACAAGGAGCCAATCAGAGCAGAGCAGGAGGAACGACCAATCACAGGAGAGAACGAGAACGAGAACAAAGTCAGGACTGAACTCTGAGGTTTAAACTTAAATTAGACTCAAGAACCGACGTCCAACGGGAAACTCCAGAACCACCGGACGCTTTTAAAATGTTATTTCACTTAAAACCGAGTTTTAATCAGTAAAACATCAGATTTACACAAACATCTAAACTTTAATTCTTTTAAAAATCATATATTTAACACTGTATTAACATGTTTTAGAAGTTTCCCTTTAGTTTTTGACATTTCGAGTTCCTCCAAACCACTTTATTATTTTATTACAGCACAGACAAAAGAAGACAATAAAAAACACAAAATTATAAATAAAAACAATAAATGAAAAGTGTTAAAATGCATAGAACTAAAAATGATTAAAAAAAAAAAAAAAAAATAAAATAAATATATAATTTAATTCAAATAAAATAAATAGTACAATTTAATTCAAATAAAATAAAATAAAAGGCCAGAGAGTAAAAGTGAGTCTTGAGACGAGACTTAAACTCTCCTCTGTGGGTCTGTTCCGTCGTGGGGGGAGGGGGGGGGGCAGACTGTTCCAGAGCGTCGTCCCTTTACTCCCCATGCTAAGTCACTCCCCCTTCAGAGCATTATCAGTGTTCATCCTGCTCATTAAACCTCCTGCACGTCGCATCGTCATCCTCATCCTCATCGCTGTGTTCAGTTTTGTGTGTTTATGGAGAACTGTCGTGTCATAGGTGACGTTGGCTTGTGGGCGGAGCCTCGTACAGACTCGTACTGCGAACCGTAAGGAGGGTTTGAATAGGACCTGGGAGGGAGAGATCTCTAGATGACTCAAACATGCATGGATGAATCTAAAACTTCTTCAGACACGTTTTTCATGAAGAAAAAATCTGAACTTTGGAGAAACTGAAAAAAAATAAAATAAAATTGCAGAATTCTCCCAATTTATTAAAGTATTTCTGAACTCTTTGGAGCTAATTAAGTCACGTTTATTGAGTGTTTGTCCTTCGCTGACAGAATTCAAGAAAATATATTCTTTGTTCTCTAAATAATTGTAAACGATTTAAATTTTGCGGGCGAGTTATTCACAAAACTCAAACTGAGAGATAAATATGAGCTCAGGGACTAAACTGAAGACTAGAAGAAAAGGACTAAACCAGGACTAAACTAAGACTAAAAAGACTAGAAAAAAGGACTAAACCAGGACTAAACCTAGACTAAACCGGGACTAAAACTAAGACTAGAAAAGGACTAAACCAGGACTGAACCAGGACTAAACCAGGACTAAACTAAGACTAGAAAAGGACTAAACCAGGACTAAACCAGGACTAAACCTAAAAAGGACTAAACTAAACCAGGACTAAACCAGGACTAAACTAAGACTAGAAAAGGACTAAACCAGGACTGAACCGGGACTAAACTAAAAAGACTAGAAAAGGACTAAACCAGGACTGAACCGGGACTAAACTAAGACTAGAAAAGGACTAAACCAGGACTGAACCGGGACTAAACTAAGACTAGAAAAGGACTGAACCAGGACTGATCGAGGACTAAAAAAAGAAGACGACCCTGAACCGGATCCTGGGAGCTTTTGGAGACGCGGTGGTGTAAAGTGTGTGTTCTTGATTTCAGTTTGAGCCGGTTGTTTCCGTTTGTGAACTGGGTCGGGTTTGGTGGAGAATAAAAGTGAGAAACGGTGAAAGATTTGACACAAAAAGCAGACGTGTCATGTTTGTGGACCACGCCTCACCACGTCTCTGTGCTTTTGTGTTTGTGTGTCAGACGAGACGAGTCCAGGCCCAAACTCCACAGGTACAAAACCACAACGAGAACGTGTGTGTGTGTGTGTGTGTGTGTGTGTGTGTGTGTGTGTGTGTGTGTGTGTGCAGTGTTCAAAAGTCACTAACAAAGAATAATCTGGAGTGTTTTGTGGACTGAAGGCTGCAGTTTTGTGGATTTTGTTTGGAACAGGATTTTGATTTTACATAAACTAATAAAGGATCATTTACTAATCCAACATGCACCGAGTTTTCCGGACTATAAGTTGCACCAGCCAAAAAATGCATAATGAAGAAGATAAAAACATCTATAAAGTCACACTTTTTGAACGTCATGTTGAAAGTGAAGTTGTAGTAATAACTAGAAGAACAGACTGTTCACACTCTCACATATTTGACTTCAGTTCTTCAGATAAACTAGAAACAACAGAACAAGTTGAACAAACTCTCTGTTTCCCTCCAAATCACTAAATCACTTCAGTTCTTCATCCTCGTGTCACTTCTGAACAACTCGACCTCGACCTCCGGAGGGAAACAGAGCCACACAAACTCTTCTGCGTCGTTGTCCTCAGACTCAGCATCAGTTCACACCAGAAACTTAAACACGTAAAAATGACTAAATATTTGGTGGGAAGTGTCTTTTGTTTAGACGGTGACGGCGTTTTTGGGGATTAAAAACACAAAAATTCAAAACCACCTCCAGAGTGAAAAAGTTGAACACGTCGACACTGCCCAAGACGCAAAACTCTG